GGCACCAGCGAGGCCAGGATGGCCATCATGCCACTCTTGCTAACACCCTGTGGCCTGAGCCGCCATCCACACCGCTGAGTCACGGGCCTCTGTGAGCCTGCTTCCCCTGCACTGAGGCTGAGCGCCTGCCCTTGGGCTGCTGTGAGGATTTGGTGAAGGGAGGTTTGTTAGCAGTGTCACCTGATCTGTCCCTGTGGGCACATTCTATCAGGGATACAAAGGTTCTCCAAACTGTCATGTGCTCATCCCAACTGCCAACAAATTGTCTTTTTTTCCTTTTTTTAGGTTTCTGTCATAGAGTGCATCGGGAGCCCTCATGGGAGAGAGACAGGGAGAGACAGAGAGAGAAAAGTGAGAAATCACTCTCCAGGTGGAATGGCCACTCTGCAATCCTTTCTCCTCTTGGGGTCTTTGGGCATGCGCATACACGTGCCTGGCATGATTTTCAAGCTGCTTTGTCTGGGTCTCGAAATGCAGTCGACGATGTGGGAGTCCAGGACCTTAACCATCAGGCCACCTTTTGACCCCGAATGTCTTGGGTCTTTCTCCACGGTTTAGAGAAACCGCAGGCCTTGCTCCACTCTGCTCCTTCTGTCTGGGCTTATCCCATGGGACCAGCAGTTAGTGTAATGGCTATGTCACTGGACTCTCATGTAGTTGACTGTGGTTCGAGTCCCGGATCCAGTGGCTTAAACTCACGCTGGGCGTGTGTGCGTGTGTGCCCAAGATCCCGAGAGGAGAATGGAGGAGAAGGGATTATGGCGTGGCCATCTCCCCTGGGGGGTGATTTCTCCCTTTCTGTCTTTTTGTCTCTGTCTTTCTGGTGAGCGCACGTGCCCTACAGCAAAAAGCTCTCCTCTGGATGGGAGGGGACACCTGTGGCCTCCCTTGCCTGCTCCCTCACCAAGTGCCAGGACCCGAGCCAGGAGCTTTAATCACACGAGTGTAGGCTCTTACCTAGGAGGCGGGCATCTCATGAATGTGTCACTGCAGAGATGAGGGCACTGAGGCTCTGACAAGTCATGGCCCCCACGACTGGGGGCCAGCAGGGGTGTAGTGGTTATGGTGCTGGACTCCCACATGGCCCACTGTAGTTCGAGTCCTGCACTCAGTGGCTTGAAAACCACACTGGGTGCACGTGCGCGAGTGACCAAAATCCCAGGAGGAGGATGGTGGAGAAGGAACTGTGGCATGGCCATCCCCTCTGGGGAATGATTTCTTACTTCCCCTCTCTCTGTCTCTCTGTTTCTCTCCAGCGAGCACACATATCCTATAGCAAAAACCTTAATTTAAAAAAGAAAAAACAAAGCTCATGACTGGTCATAACTAAAAATCCCAGAATCAGGCCCGTCAGTGGGATTCGAAGTCACGCCTCTTTGATTCTTGCATTTACTGTCTCCTTGGACCACTGGTCCCTGGGAAGGGGAGGGAGGGATCTGGACCTTGCAGTAACCCAGGGACGGGGTCTTTGGTCTCCACTTTCTGTGAGCAAGCTTTTGAAAGGTCTTTGGGGGTGGGGAGCAGCAGGCAACAGCCCCTGGCTGGGAGACATCTTTATTCCTGTGTTGTATGAGCACAAGAGTGGAGCCAGAAATTAGCTAAAGCCCTGGTTTTCTCAAACTCTGGGCTGCCACTTTGGCCTCTGGGATGAAGGTGCGACAATGAATGCAGAGATTGGGGTGACGCGAGGCCAGGAGCCGTGGAATGAATGCAGCAAACCTCAAGAAGCCAGGGAGGCCAGGAAAAGGGTTCTCTCCGAGAAGACGCCTTGGTTTTAGCTCAGCGAGACCCATGTTGGACGCGGACATCCCCGAACTATAAGGTAATAAATCTGTTGCTTTAAGCCACTAAATTTGTGCTGATATGAAAAAGTAGAAAAACAGACACAATCTCTAAGGCAACTTTTCAAAAGGAAAGCATTTCTTTCCCCAGGTCCTGGAGCTTCGGTTTCCTTCTCTCAGGCCATGCTGCCCAGCTTGTGTCACTCCCTAACCCCAGGCGGTGTCTCAGGGACCCCATCCATTTGGCCCTCTCCTGCGCCCTGCCGGCTCACTGCCAGCGCGGCTTCATCTGTCAGGATTAGGGCTCCTGGCTGGGCTGACTCAGAGGCAAGTCATGCTGCATTAATCCCCAATTAAAACGTTAATCAAAAACGGATCCAGTCATTAGCCAGCCCAGGTCCTGGCATGCTGGATGTCCGAGAGGGGCTGCACCTGCCCGGGGCATCTGTCTTTCTCAGCCGCCCACTGTCTGTCCTCCATGCAGTCCTACCACCTGGCCCAAGTCCCCGGGGTGGGGGTGGGGTGCACGATGTGCTGGGAGCTGGGCATGTCCCTCCATCCCTCCCTGTTCCCGATGAGAAGTGTCATTGTCTCTCCCCAACTCCATGAAAAAGACAGGCGGCTCCTGGAGCCTCCCCGCTCTGATGCTGGCAACGTAACACCCAGAGCGCGTTTGCCTTCTACCAGGAGGTATTTGGGACCCGAGTCAGAGACGCTTTTCTATTTGCTTCCCTGTTGTCCAGAATTTGGAACCCTGGCTCAAGCACAGGAGCAGGCTTGGGGCAGCAATGGGGACCTCCGGAGAGCAGAGAGGGAGACGCCTGCTTACACAATTCCTTGGGAGCAAGAGCAGGGCTGCAGCTGTCACCTGGCTGGGGAGGTGCAAAAGTCACCACAGGTCAGGGGACAATCTCGGGCACCATTTGGGTTCTATCCATAACAAGTTCACTGTCTGTTTTGATTCTGTTAATCGAATGCAGTGTGCAGGTAAGAAAAATGGCCAAGGGTCTATCGAGTGATTGCAGCTAGACGCTTTCTTGCTCTCCCTTTTCATCAGCTCTGTACAGAGGGCCTTTGCTAGCTGCCATTTTCTACTCCAAGGCTCCATTTCTGGGTTTCATGAATCAAAGGAGGGTAGGTTTATTACCAGACCCCTGTACCTCTGGCGACAGGAAAGGCCAACATGGGCACGTGTTAGGAAAGGGGACGTGGAGAAAGGGCAGCCGGTCAAGAAACCTCACAGGGGGTCCTGGGGGTGAATTCCTGAGTCCTGGCCTGAGCCACGGAGTTCCCGGGAGGATCTTCCTCACGTCTTGCCAGAGCCTGGCTGTGTGTCTGGTGCTGAGAACTCGGAGTGGCTCCCAGAGCCGCCCCGTCAGGCTCCGGTGTGCCGGCAGCCCAGGCTCTCAAGTCTCGGGAGAAGAAGCAAGGTTGACTTGTTTCCACTCGCAGCTCCCTGTGGGCTAGCGTGTCCCACGGCAGGCATCTTTCCACTGGAATGGGCTGGCTTAGAGAACGGCTGGTGGGGCAATCCCAGGGGGCCTCCTTGCTTGTCTTCCAGACCTGCCTCCCCTCCCTCCCCACTCAGCAGGTGCTTATCAGAGCCCCCAAAGCCAGGGACACACAGGGAGAGCTCTGGTGCAGTGCAATCGGAGACAGCCACCCCAAGAAGACAGCGTGTCCGGGCTGCGTGCTCCCCCTACCCCAGCCCAGTCTCTGGCAGAGCTGAGCTTTCCTTGGTGAGGCACCCTAGTGACTCCAATTGCAGTCATGTGTGCGGGTACCAAATATACCCAGCGAGTAAGCCTCTGCTCCGATTGTAGTGAGGGCAGCCCCCCACCCCCACGCTCCGTGATTCAGGCCCTCCTCTCACCCCCTGACTTCTCTCAGGCTCTGAGCAGTGAGGATGACTGTCTCCTGTCTCATCTGCCTGGATGGCTTTGGTGCCTGGCCCCTCGGAGTACTTAAGAATAGCAAGTGTTTAAGGAAATGCCTACTGGAGCCGGCCCGTGGCGTGGTGGTTGAGGCGGCTGGAACTCACATGGCCGACAGCACAGTTTGAGTCCTGGAATCGAAAAACACACCAGACATGTGTGTGAGCGTGCCCAACATCTTGAGAGGAGAATGGAGGAGAAGGGATTATAGCACGGCCATTCCCTCTGGGGGTGGAGGGTGTGCTTTCTCACTTCCCATCTCCCCAGCAGGCATGTGCAGACTCCATAGCAAATTAAAAAAAAAAAAAAGCAACAAGAAAATGCCTGCTAACTGGGCACCCTATCATAACAAGCTCCACTGGTGGGAGCCTGCATTCTGCCTGCATCCGCACTCCTCCATCAGCCCCACCCATTGCCACCTCCCCTAGGAGCTTTGAAAGACTTTTTCTACCTACCAATTCCAGCCTCCCACTCCCCTTGAGAATGAATGCACTAAATGAACCAGTGAAGTTCTGCCGGGTCCCACCCCTTTGACTTGCTGCTCTCTTCCCAGCATGGAGAATCAGTAAATGTTTCTTAAACCAATGGGTGGATGTTGAGCCCTTCATACTGGAGTTGCCCACAGTAGGTGCCTGACTGATCTTTGCTAATGAATGAACTCTCTTTTCCTCGCCCTTCCAAAGTCTCTGACCTGTCGGGCTGAGCCCCTCGCAGGCATAGAACCCCTGAAACTGGAGAGACCATTGACCTCCCTACCAGATACTGGGGCGTCCAGGGAACTGTCTTGGTAGCCCCAACACCCAGCACATAGTAGGTGCTCAGTAAACGCTTGTCGAGTTGATAGTTAAGGAATGACTCAGTGAGGCCCACTGGAGGGGACGCTCCATCCGTGCCTAAGGACAGAGTAAACGCACGAGTGACAGACGCCACCCTCCCTCCTCCTGGCATCCACGAGGCTGCGAGAAACCTCCGCCCACAGTCAGGATGCACCCCAACCCCCTCCCCCCACCGGGTCACCGCAGCGGAGAGCGTCCAGCACTTCGCGTCCGCGGGACCCCTCTGGAGGACCAAACCTAGACGCGTCCCGTGGCGGTGCTGAGCGCGCTCCACGCCGCTGCCGGGGATGCCTCTGGGTCCTCTGCCTCCCTACCGGAGGTTTCAGGCTCCTGCAGGGGAGTCCGGGGCCACCGCCACGTGCTGCTTCCCGGAGCCCGAGTTTGCAGGCGCAGGGTCCGGTCCGCGGCTCGCCCGAGCCGGGAGACGCTGCAGCGCGCAAAGTTCCCACCTTAAGTTGCCGTCGCTGCGTCCCTGCCTCGGAGTTGGCCTGGCCGCGGCTTCAGTCCCCTCCGCTGCCGGCGGGTCCGGGGCCAGGACGCGAGAAGGGCTGGAAGCCGCCCGGGGCGCGCGCTCTGCTTCCCGGTGCCAGGGTGGAAGTTTGGCCCCGGAGTCCTGTTCAGCTCCAGCACTCGGACCCAGGACCGCCCCGCCTCTGCCTCCCGGTCCCCGCCGGGCTCCAAGTGCGCCGGCAGCGCAGCGCTGCAGCCGCCGAGGGAGGGAGCCGGGGCAGGAGGAGGGAGCGAGGGAGGGGACTGAGCGCGGGGCGGGGAGAGTGGGCGGGCGGCAGAGTGCGGCACCGGTCTCGCCCAGCTGCCGGGATCGTGGCCACTGCAACGCCGGCTCCGTGCGTCCGGGCTCCCGAACCTCGAGTCCAAGGTCCCTGGCTCTACCGCTGGGCAGCGCTCCGCTCCGAGCGTTCCAGAGCCCCAGCCCCGGACACGCGCGCCAAGTGCCCCCTGACATCCCGTCTCTTCCCTTCCTCCTTTCTCCTTCCCCGTCCTAACCATTCCCTCCTGCCCTGGCGTCGCTGCCCCTCTGCCCGCACAGCGCCAGCCTCTAAGGTCCCCGAGATCCGGATGGCGCTCCATGTCGCGTGCTCTCCGCGGCGGTCCAAGGGCACGGTGGCTCAGGATCCCCTGGCCTCACTGCCCCAGTGTCGTTCTTTCCACATCCTGGGGACCACACTGTCTCTGTCTCGGGCCTTTTCCTCTTCCTGGAGAAAGAAGGGCACCGCTGCTCCGGGGCCCCTCGCCTACTGCCCAGGGTCTGCGCTTGCCGCGTCCTTCCGGCCCTCCACGTGCTGCTGCCCCGGAGCCGCACGCTCCAGGCAAGCGTCTCTGTCCTGGGGATGCACCGCGCCATAGCGCCTGCCTTTTCCTCTGGCAGCAAGAGCGCCTTGCCCCTGGGCTTCTCTGGCTGCAGCGGCCTAGGGGTCACGGGTATCCTGCTGCTTCTTAGGGGACAGCATGAGCCACGTCCAGGTCCGCGTGCCCCGCATCCTGAGTCTGAGTGGTCCAGATGCTCACACCTCCCGGCGGACGCGGGCAGACGCGGGGCACTGGGCCCAGGTCCTGGGTTCTCTGGGTCCTGCTCCAAGTGCGCAGGCAGCCTGCCTCGAGTGGTTAAGAGCGGCACAGGCGCAGGGGGTGGGATTGGACTCAGGGGGAAGAGAGGTACCACCTGCAGAGTCTGCCTCGCTCCCCTCCATCCCTCCTTTCCTCTCTTTTCTGTCTCTTCTGCCTTTTCCCACCATCAGAGAACTTGAAAGGGCACACAGAAACCCGGCTGTGGGCAGGGCCCTAAGCCTCCTCCTTGAGGGTGGGGAGAGGTTCCCAGCTGTGGGCTCCCCTCTTTTTCTGGAGCTTCATGAAGAGAGAAGGGGTCAGCTAGCTCTACAAACACGCGTTGGGGCATTTATTCAGCTCAGCCTGGCCAGCTGTTGGGTGGAGGAGACCAGCACAGACAAGGACTTGCTCTGGAGAACGCACCTTATGCTGGGTGAAGCCAGAGCAGGAAACCGGGGTGCCTGACCCAAGTCTGTGAGAAGAGCAGGGAAGAGGCAGCAGAGGGGTGCAGAGGCAGGGGTGTAGAGGAGGGAAGTGAACACTGCAGACAGAGTAAGGAGACAGGGATTCCTGAGGGGTTGGCCACACCGATTCCTGACCAAGGAGGAGGCGCCCATCCTTGGAAGCGAGTTTTCTAGGTGGACAGAACAGCAAAGGCAATGGCCTTGAAGCAAGAGCGGAAGGCTACTTTGATGAAGTGCTAGGAGGTTCCCGCCTGGATTGCATGTTGAGCAGCACTGCTGTGGCCGTGGCAGGCCCCTGCCCACCTCTCCCACTTGAGAAGTAGGTTTATCTGTCTATCTATTATTTATCTATCTTTTTTTTTTTTTTTTAGATATTTTTCCATAGGGCACTTGCAGTTCCCAGAGAGACAGAGAGAGAGGGAAAATGAGAAATCACTGGGGATGGCCATGCTGCGATCCCTTCTCTATTCTCCTCTTGGGATTTTGGGCACCCATGCACATGAACCCGGCATGGTTTTTCAAGCTGCTGGGTTCAGGACTCGAACTGCAGCGTCGGCCATGTGGAATCCAGCACCTTAATCACCACGCCACTGGCTGGCCCGTATCTATCTTTTTAGTTTTCTCTAGTTATTTGCGTTCCTACTAGACTTCAAGCTCCAAGGGCTTCCACGCTGCCAGGCCCCCTCAGAGCGGCTCCTGACACGTTACCGAGCGACACAGCAGCGTCCCTTGGGTAGGGCTGGTGGGACCTTTCGGCCTCCTCCAGAGAGGGCCTGTCCCTGGGGGCTGGGCCCATCAGAATGCTGTGCAGTCGCAGTTGAGTCAAGTGCTGGGTGGTCTCGGACTGGGGACCTGGCACACTGCGTGGAGACCATCCAGAAGGACGAGGAGCCCTCCCACCCAGTCACTCCCACCCGCCACACATACATACTCCCTGGCCGCACCCAGGAGCAAAATTACTGCCTGATCTTATCCCTGACCGTGCTAAAGGATGTCCAATAACATTCTCTTAAGACCTTTTAAGGAATTCCCTCTGTGCAGCAACTCCCTCACTTACAGTCTTCCAGATTCTCAGCTCTTCTCTTCCTATCTCTGTTTCCCTCCTGAGAAGCAGCACTTCCCAGGCTGTGGTGTAGAGATGTTTGCCGATGGTGCCTGAGAAAGCTTTCTGAAAAGAGGGGGACCCCGGTGCTTGCTGAGCACCTACCAGGTGCCAGGCGGTTGCTGGGCAACTCGAAGACACCTGAGCCTCAAACTGAGCCAGCAGGTTGGTCCTGGCATGCAGACCTGCCTTCTTTTTTTTTTTTTCTTTGTCCCTACTGGCTTATATATATATTTTTTAAATTAAAAATTACTTGCCCACTGTTAAAAATCAGGAGATTTCACATACTTTTCTCTTTTTTTTCTTTTTTCTTTTGAGACTCTGAGGGATCTGGCCAATGCGTTTTACGTGAGCAGCGTCCTGGGCTGGGCCCTGGCACCCCTGTGGTGTGCCCCTCAGCCCATGTCCTGTGTAGGTTACTGCCAGGTCCCTGGAAACCAGGGTGGGGAGCTCCCATCTTGTCTAATTGTCTAGGGTCATGTAGAAAATGACAACACCAGATCTCGGGACCAGCAGATGACATAATGTTGTCACTGGACTCCCACTTAATTGATCATGGTTCGAGTCCCAGAATCGGCAGCTTAAAAGTCACACTGGGCATGTGTGTGTGCATGCCCCAAATCCCATGAAGAGACTGGAGGAGAAGGGATTGTGGCATGGCCATCCCCTCTGTGGAGTGATTTCTTGATTTCTATCTCTCTGTCTCTATCTCTCCAGTGAGCGCACGTGCCCTATAGCAAAAATCTCTCTCTAAAAAAAAGAGAAAAGGACAACATTGGATCTGAACCTTGGCCAGTCTGTCCCAAAAGGCAAGTTTGTCACCGAAAGACCTCTGTTAATACTGGGAGCAGGAGGATGTGGTGTCGCCAGCCCTGAGGAAATACCGTAAAAGGCAGTTACTGTCAGCAGCTGAGAACAGGCTTCCTTCCCACTCCTGACGGCCTGTCAGGAAGCCATAAAGTCCTGGGCTCTTTCTACGGCAGCGAGGGTTATCCGAGTATCCAAAGTGTTCTATCCAATGCCCCGCTTCCAAGACAAAACGGCTGAGGCTTGGGTAGAGTTGGGGTGAGTCTGTGGAAGGGAGAATTGGGTGGGAATTTCTTCAGGCAGAGTTTGCCCTGCAGGCAGAGGGTCTCACTGGGTGTCTGGGGGGGTATAGGTTGTTGTAGGAAAAGTGCTAGAATTCCAGTCGAGTCAGGGTGGGGAGGTGATCAAGTCCTGCAGTGTCTCCCATTGTCCCTCTGCTTCAGGCACCCTGTCCCCTGACATCCCAAGCCTTCTGCCTGGAGTCCTCTTCCCACAGAGTTCCACAGAACCAGCTCTTCCCGACTTCAGCCCCTGGTCACCTTGCGACCTCTGGTCCCGCTGGGGTGGGGCTGCAGTGGGCGGGGGTGAGCCATTTGAAGACATGCCGTTGTCTAAGTCTTTTAAAATGTTATATTTTGCTCGTGAATTTATTTTTAATTTGCTGAAGGGCATGTGCACTCTCTCCAGACAGAGAGAGTGAGAAAGCGTCTCCCATGGGGAAAGGTCATGCCACAACCCCTTTTCCACTTCTCCCTCCTTTCGGGACTTTGGGCATGCACACACATGCCCTGCGTGCCCAGGCCGTCGGATCGGGTTTGAACTGTGGTTGGCCATGTGAGATCTGGCTCCTTAATCACTAGGCTACAGGGCTAGCCTTCATCCTGGATGCTTTGACACTATTTTTGATTTTTAAAAAAATAGCTAAGTGAAATGGTATTAAGGCAGCTGGATCCCACACGGCCAACTATGTGGTTCAAGTTCTAGACCCATGTGAGAGGAAAATGGAGGAGAAGGGATTGTCTCCATACCTCTCCTGGGAAGAGCACATGACCTATAGCTAGCTAGCTAGCTAACTAACTAACTAACTAACTAACTAAAGGTATGTGCATTTAAATGCTGTTTATCTTGATCACTGAACTTTTTGACCTCCTCTTAAATTTGGTACCCGACCTGTCTCACCCCAGCACCAGGCCCGCTCCTAGTCTAGGATTCTTTGAACGGAGCTCTGCACTGGGAGCCAAGAGACCCAGGTTCCCCATGCACTAGCCTCGCCTGTGACGGGATGCAAACTGCTGTGGGACCCTGGGCCTCCCCGTTATGCCCTCTGCTCAGGGGAGGGGTTATGCCTGATCTAATTCTAGAATGATCTAAGACCCCACTAGACCTCTGGCAGGTGGTGCATTGTGTCTCTCTCCAGGGACTTTGGGGCCATTTTAGGCCTTGCTGACTCTATCCACTATGGAAGGTCACTTGCTGTCCTATGCTAGGCGTTCCTCTCTACAGGCACGTCCTCATGGCTGCTGGCAATGAGTGTGGGTGTCCTCACTCCATTTCCCCGCCCTTGGGAGAATTCTGCATTAGAAGTGTGGACAGGTACCTGATCCTTTGAGGTCTTGCCTCTTGTTCTTTGGTTTCATTCACTGGATTGCTGGACAGACGTTCTTTAAGGACCTTGCCTGTGCCAAGCACCGAGCAAGTACTTGGGATGCAAAAGACTGGTTTCCAGCCCTGGAGGAGCTGGCGTTCTAGCCAGAGAGA